TAAGACAGATTCTCCGAGGGAATATTGATCAATATTTCTTCGAAAAAGATTGCTTTCGTTCGAGTTTTAACGCCGACTATCCGCCATTTTGAAACTGGACTTTTTAAAAAGTCCGGGAAAATCCGGTAGTGCAAGGCCCCCGCGCGGTATGAAATTAGGCAATACTATTCCACACCACCTCATGTAAAGATGAAAACTACAAAATTCCTTTCTTGGTTTTAAACTCAGCCATTAACCCTCTGGTTTATGCCTTTTTCAAAAGAGACAAAAAGAAAGAGTTTAAAAGACTTCTTGGAGCTGTGTTTTAATTTAAAGAAAATATTAGTAATGTTAATGAAAGCCTACCACTTTACCAGCGTACGCGTAACTCGTTGTTGTAGGATGTAGGTCTTTTAAGACGGTAAAAGGCTTGAGAAGAGACTGATAAATCTGTGACTTTTGGACTGAAAGCGAATTGAAATTTGGAAAAATGGCGTATGAGGAGAGAAAACAAGAACATTCGTACGCTAAGAGAATTTAAAATACCGGGGAAAGGACTTAGATCAAGATTCACACAGTAGTGGGAGGCAAAAAGTCACATCACATGGAACTTTTTAGTATCGCATTGTAAGAGTATAATTCAATTTATGTCCACATCCTGCTAGCAGAGCCTTTGTTTTGGCGCACTGTTAAAAAAAAAATACCTGCATGAATCGAGTAAGATCATTCTTGAGGGTCTCTGATACGTTTTTGGGATCCGGGATTTCCCTTATTTGCTCGGGATTGGGGATTTTAAAGCAAAATCGGACAAGATTCGGGATGGAAAGTATGCGTGAGAGTTAGAATGCCGAAAATAACCCTCGGCTACGGGATTACACGAAATTTTGGGTCGGGATGACAGGATTGAAGAACCCTACAGTGGGGACCCTCATGGTTGAGGGTCCCCACACATGTTCAATACTCTCGATTAGATTCCAGTGGGCAAAGCCTGGAGTCCAATGGAGTCTGTTAGAAAAATGAAACCGGAAGTACAGTCGAGTCCACTGAATTACCGGAAGTCTAGCCATAAGATGAAACTGGGAGTGTAAACAACACTTTGAGGAAGGTTGGAAAGTCGTCCGATGGAGTCCATCGTCTGCACATGTAACACATCGCGTTCGTTAAGTCCTAAGTCGAGACTGGCACGCTTAACATGCAACATATGAGTCGGAAAGTCGAAACAAACACGCTATACATGTGAGATTACTGCTCGTTCTTAAAGCGATGAGCCGAAACAAGCACGCTACAAGTCGTTTATTAAGAGGCAATTTTACCTTCTCGCTTCTTTTTGCATAAAAAAAGTAATGGTATTGTAATTTGTACACCGGTCTCAGTTTCTAATAAAGAACGGTCCAATTAAGAATACAATGACAGCGCAATTATTTAGTGAACCAAGTTAACAATAAATTGCAGTAAAACAAGATTGACTTTGTCCCGTTTGATTGACTGATATTTTTGCGCTATTGCCACGTGACGTTCCCCAATTTCTCTACCTCTTGCTAGCGTAGGAATTCGTCAAGTTAATAATTGGAACCCTGACATTTATGCAAAATGTTAAGTTTTCAAGTATATAATCTCGTCGTGCGCGTCTAGCGTACGCAGCGCGAAAACTGCGCGTGGTCTCAGTGTTGCAATCTCGGGTGCTCCATATTTCTTACTATATACCTGACATCATGCAGTTGACGTCACGAAGCAATTTGTGTTTCCAGGCAACATCAGGCGCATTATTATGTTTTATTCATGAAATGCTGGTTCTGCGACGGTTTTTTCAATCACGAACAATTTCTCATGCAAATGACACACGAAAGCAAGCATAACAACGTTAGCTGGATTCACCAAGTGGCAGCGAGTTCACTCATGCATGTACACGAATAACTATAATTGAACACTTGCAGAAATTATTTGGTACTTTTTACAGGGATTCAGTGCTATTGAAGGCAGGCATATCCAATAATCATAAGTCATGAGTCATGAGTTATGAGTGTAATTTCCTCTTCGAGTTCCTTCCATGTGTGCTGTTAATACTCTGCTTTGTATCAATGATATTTTTGACGCACGCGGGCATGATAAGCCAGCACGCACCTTGGCAAAACAGTTACGCTTTAACCATCAGGTGTTTTCATGTTGCATCTCACATAAACAGGGGCGTAACCAGGATTTTTTCGGGGTACGCACAATTCTCCAAATGCCCTTATCCCCCAACCCCCTGCTCAATGTTCCAAAAGGTGAGATTATTGTAAGTCGAAGCGTTCTTACTGTATACAGCTGTTTCGAGAAAGGTTGTCGGAAGAAATGCGCACGTGACAATACCGAAAGGTGATATGGGATATGATCAATACACTGTTCGTAACGACTGAAGCTGTCGAACCTACTTTTGTTGCTTTCCTTTAATACTCGCAAACATATGTCCGTGGCCTTCCGTACCATTCTTTCAAATTTCTTTGAAGAACATTGCCCTCAAAGCCACCCACAATACCTTTCGGGATTGTCGCGTGCACTTCCGACGACCGTTCTCGAAATAGCTGTATGAAATGACGTGACTGTGTAAAGTGAAAAAAAAAATCTTTGTCGTCTTTTTTGTATTCATGGACTGAAGCACGTCAATCACTTTTCCTAACTTAAGGCTTAAAATATATCATTTATATGTATTAAATATTTAATCCACCAAAGGAAGACGACTTTTAAATGGGAGTAATTAAAACTAAAAATTAAACAATCCGTTGTTAAATGAATTGAGCCAAACTGTGAACGTAAAATAATTATATTTTACCTATCTTATATACTTTGCTTTTTTTTCATTATTCGCTTTCGTATCTTATTTTATTATTATTTTTTTGACCTTCGACTTTTTCATGTACGCACGTGCGTGCCGTGCGTGCGTAAAGGTAGCTACGCTTGCTACGCTCCTGATAAATGTATACTGTTTAATTTTTTTATATGGAATTTTACCTTCTCGCTTCTAATTGGATAACGGAAACGAAAAAAAACTCTCCTTTTAATAAGTTTTTCCCAACTTTTGCCGTAATTTGTAACACCTGTCGCAGTTTCTAATAAAGAACTGTGGTAATTAGGAATACATTAACGTAGCAATATTTAGCGAACCAAATTAACAATGAATTGAGATAGGTGGTAACACAAGTGACTGACGCTTTCTATCGTTTCATTGACAGATGTCTTTGCACTATTGCCATGTGACAGTCCACATTTTCTCTCTTCTTATTACCGTTTATTAAAAAAAAAAACTTATAATTACAAAATACGACACCATGACTAATTAGAAATAGGGTCAAAAATATTAAAAGTTATAATACGGTGCAGTTATTACAATAAGGACGATTTAAAGAACTAATAGAAGCACGCACCGTAAATGATGTTATGGGCGCCCACTCTTAAATAACGCCCCCTGTCTAATAGACATTTCATTACATTTCATTTCAATACTCTGAAACGCTAGGAAACGGTAAAAAGGAGTAAAGTCATTCAATCTGCCGGTCCAGTTTCTTGCTTAACAATGCCTTTAGACGTATCGATAGATGGAGGGACCAGATATCCTGCTATTTACAGTTAACTCTCTTGATACGCTTCCCTCTTTTAAACTCCTTCCATCTATTAAACGCTCCCTCTTGGCCATTGGACCCCTAAAATTAAATAAACGCCACGGGCGTCTATAAAATCATCTACGGGTATTTAGTAACTGTGACCCTGAAATTCATGCAAAGATGTCAATTTTAATAGTTAATCAGTATAGTTGACAAGAACTGAGCCCGTGATCAAATAAAATATCAGCGCAAAACTTTAAACCTAGCCAAGAATCCAGAGCCAGGTCTCCATCTTTAAACACTACGTGACCTCAATAGATAGAAATATGAGCCCGCGATCCACTCAGGTTATGATGGTCAGCGTATACTCTAGTTTGACAGCTGTCAATTAACCTTCATTAGAATGGCGAATATTCGAATTAACAGACTGCGAGTGTGAGTAGGACATTTCCGTCCGGCATGTAGTGGAAAATGCCAGATCGTGTACCTGACCGAACCTGAGCCCTCGTTATTAGTTTTCTGATAGCGGTCTGCACATGTCCCATTTTGACAGCTGTCAATCGACCTTAATTTGGCCTGCCAATGTAACTTTAAACGACTATCAGCCAACTGACAGCCTTGCCCGGCGTAGTTTCGTTTTTATGTTGAATTGGTAAGTGTGACATAATGTATCAGCTTATATATAGGGGCAAAACGACTGATCTTTTATCTGAACCCGCGAGACGGTCATGTGATAATTGTCAGCGGATGTCTGATTTTGACAGCTGTCAATCTAATCGTACTCATACGGATGGCTTACATAACTAAGAGGCTAGTCAAGTTGTGCAAGATCTATTGTGACATTTGACATCGGCTTACATGAAGTGTGTGTACGGACGGGCGTACGCTACGTCATAACCAAATTTTCTGGGATGGATAGTTTACCAAATTTTCTTACCCATGGTGCTCCGCTGCAGTGGAAATGGATTTACAATCTTTCTCGTTTGCAGCAGACGAAATCTCCGTACCAAAACCAACGCAACGCATTTATTGTTTCACTTGCAGTAGCGGATTTCTGTGTTGGTTTGAGCGTTATTCCTTCTCTGTTCTTCTGCGACATTACAAACACCTGCGACTGGCTTCAACATTTGCTATCTTGGTCATCTTGGGTGAATATTATAAGGTGGTTGCTTAGTAACAAGTCTGTTGTAAAATTATGCGTCTTAGTACTGGATCGTTTTATTGCCATCGTTCATCCTCTAAAATACATTACTTTCAGACTCGCTGTCGAATTATCCGAATTATTGTCTTCTCTTGGGTTATACCAGTTAGTTTTTACGCGCTTAAGATTACCCTTTATATGTTTTATTTCAAAACAATACCTGTCCCTGTCCCTCTTATTTGGCTGACAATAATTTTTTTGAGTTTCTTCCATGTGTTCTGTTAACACTCTGCTTTCCATCAATGATATTTCACGCACGCAGGCATGATCAGTCAGCACGCACCTTAGCAAAACAGTTACGTTTTAACCATCAGATGTCGTTTAAAATCCTCCACGATAGGTCTGCAGTAATAATGATGGGTCTTGTGATAGGAGTGTTTCTTGTTTGCTATGGGATGCATCTGACTTGGCGCTGTGTTTTAAAGAAAATAATAAAGAAAACTAAAGCCTACCACTTGACGTGCGTAACTCATTCTTGTAGTATAGGATGCAAGTCTTTAATGAACGAGTGTGAAAGGCTTGAGCAATTCAGTAAAAGACTAATAAACGTGTGAGGCTTGGACCCAAAGCGAATTGAAATTTGGAAAAAATGGCGCATTAGGAGAGAAAACAAGAACCTTTGGACCCTCAGGGAATACAAAATACAAGGGAAAGGACGTCTTAGGATCAAGCTTCACAGGTGGTGTGAGACGCAAGTTCTTATTGGATGGAACTTTTTAGTTTCAGATCATGAGAGTATAATTTTTTGTTTACACTGGCTGCTACCAAAGCCCGCTTTGCTTCACTTGCTCGATTTTGGTATACTCGAGCAAGACTCTGCATCAATCGAGTAACAAAGATAGCGTGAGCATGTGGTGCTTGTTGCTTGGATACAGTTTGAACCCAGGTTTAATAGCCGTGCGCTTTCTACAGCGGGCTCATCGGTTATGACCATCCATTTATCAAACTGAAACGGATGTTTCCACTCTGAATACCAGTTTGAAGGGAGAAAACAAGATTGACAAGTTCAGAAGTTCGAGGTTCGGTGACTTCATAAGGCTTGGCGCCAATTTTCCTCCATACTGAGGTTGTTTGTTCAATAGTCTTCGTAATCAACTCTGTTAACGGCGATAGATTCCTGGAATTTACCGAACCCAACTGAAAGATTAACTGTACGATATTCTTGTTATATGAAGTAATTCCCTTGTTGAGAAAAACACAAAGAAATGTAGTAGTTTTGTAATCTTCCTGTGCATGTTTATTTCAGGTTAGTCTTGCAGGTGTGACTGAAATGATAAAATCGTGTAAAGTGTAAAATGACTTGTTATGGAGAAAAAAGGTATAGCTATCAAATGTGTCACCTTTTTCGCCCAGGTTACACGAGCGTAAGGCTAATTTTCCTTTAAATTCTGTAGAAATCATGACAAAGAAATTAATATTGGTTGCTAAGGAAGCCCAACAGCAAATTGGAGAGACGAGTTGCTTGTGGCTGGAACGATATTAAAATCGTTGCATGCCGAATGAATAATAAAACCTTCCAATTTAGCAGTACGAAATAATAGTGCAGTAGAAGGCATCTAACTAAACAATATTGTTAATTGATTGATAACTGAGCTAGTGAAACAGTTCTTAAAGATCATATCGACACCCCAGGCGTCTTGCGCCATGTATATATATACATATTGAAAGGATTATAAAATAACAAGGTTCTATAAATAATTAATTAACTGTTAGACATTCAAGAAGTTTTTTTTGAAGAGGGTGTTTTTGCACAGTTGAACTGCCGTTAAAAACTTATCGACATTGTGTTCCTGTTTCACATCGTGATCAGTTTATTTTTTTTCCTTGCTCTATTTATTAACTGAAAACCATTGCATACTCTATTTAGTATAGCAATGGAGTTAAACGGAACAGTCTAGGCAGATTACAGTGATGCTGCTGGCTCCTGTCTGTCTTGTTTTATTTTCTCGCTTATGAATAGTTAACGACAACAGTGGAAACGTTCTCAGGCAAATTTAGTAACGCGCTGTACGTGATATTTAAGAGACGGCCTTGGCTTTTTATTTATTAATGCACTTTTGTCGTAATTTGTAGTAGACCTGTCGCAATTTGTAGGTTGGTTTAGTTGTAAAGAGAATAGTATTTAATAAGAACTTCTCTTAACTGCCGTTAGTACGGATGGAGACCTGGTTTTGGATTCTTGGATGGGTTCTTTCCTTTCTTGCCATCACTGGAAATGGATTTGTAATCTTCCTCGTCTGCAGCAGACGAAATCTCCGCACCAAAACCAACGCGTTTATTGTTTCACTTGCAGTAGCGGATTTCTGTGTTGGTTTGAGCGTCATTCCTTCTTTGTTTATATGCGACGTTACAAGCACCTGTGAGTGGCCTCAGACTTTTCCGTCATGGAAAGATGTCGTAAGGTGGCTGTTTAGCTACCTGTCTGTTTTAAACTTGAGTTCTCTGGTGCTCGACCGTTATATCGCCATCGTAAAGCCTTTTAAATACATAACTTTTATGACTCGATCTCGTGTTATTGAAGTGATAACTTCCTGTTGGATAGCGTCATTTACATTGGTTGCGTTCAAGACCGCACTTCGGCTTTGCTGTGAGACCCCTCTGACCAGTATCGTTGCAGTTGTGGTTTTAATGATTTCCATGGAAATCGTTCCATGCGTTCTGCAGATATTCTGTTTTGTGTCAATGTTACTTCATGTATGGAAACATGATCGGTCAGCACACACCCTAGCAAAACAGTTACGTTTTAACCATGGGATATCTTTTAAAACCCATAACGAGACGTCTGCAGTTATAATGATGGGTATTGTGATAGGAGTGTTTGTTGTGTGCTACGGAATATATTTGCGTTGTAGTCTCGTAGTACTATCCGACACAAATGCATCATGTAAAGATGAACAATACAAAATTCCTGTATTGGTTTTAAACTCGGCCATTAACCCAATGTCTTATGCTTTTTTCAAAAGAGACATAAAGAAAGAGTTTAAAAGGCTTATCAGTCAGCTGGTTTAATTTAGGCGGAAAAGTAACCGTGTAGAGCCTTCCACTTGATCATTTTTGAAGGACATAGATCTTAATATTGGTCGGCAGAACTGCCTTTGATAGCGGATTGTGTCAGGCATCGCAGGCGGCAGTTTTGGGGTCGGCAAATCCCTGGCGGTTTGTCTCAAATCATAGTTTGGAAGCACTGATGTTTAAGGAGGGGACAAGAACCAAAGGAGGACGAGGATACAATCCAAAAGGGACCTTACTATCCAAAAACAGAGACGCCAATGAAAACGTCGCTGAAAAATAGACTTCGCGTCCATTGAAACTTTTTCGCGCTCATACCAAGTCGCCCAGTGAATTGAAAGTGCGGAACATGTGTTAGGTTCGAACTGAAGAGAGGAGACCGCGTCCGAGTTCAGAGAGGGATAGTAAATAAATTTATCGCCTTGTCGTTCCAGTTCTTAAGCCCGTCATCTAAAAAACATTGACTATTCCACGTTGTAGTTGTGTAGGGACAGCGGAGAAATGTACATAAAAAAGTGAGGCACGTGCAGCCGGAGCTGTTGTTTTGCTCACTGAAGCCTATTGTGTTTTAGGCGTTCTTCTTGCCGTCGCCGTTGTAGTTTCGTAAGGTTCCTAGCAGTATATGTCAGTTGCTCTTGAAACGGCGATTCTGAGGTATCAAGCCTACGTCAAAGGTAGTGGTAGACGAAATTTCTAATTGAAACTTTTTGTTTCAAACCAAGGGAAAGTATTTCTTTTTCCTGGCTTTATTTTCCACATTAATTATTGTAATCAACTCTGTTAAGTAGTTTCCTAGAATTTAAACAAGCATGAAGTAAACGTTTTTGTTTTTGTACAGGAAAAGAATTGTATTATTTTTTCCTTTCCCTGAAAACTGATAGTTAATTAACCTCAGTCCATGCTAGATGTGAATGAAATATTAAAAACTTTAGAGCATGATCTGTATGATCCATACAGGCAACATGGATATTTTTTTTCAGGTTCCCATTGATCCCTATGGGGTGGCGAAAAGCAATCTTTTTCTTCAAACAAGTTTTAAAGCTGTTTAGAGAACGTCAGTGGACGATTTTGTAATAATTTGTAATACCCGTCTTGATTTGCATTACGTAGTAGCTGTTCTAATTTGCTTTCAGAAGGATCCTCAGTTACTTTCCTGTCATGTTCAGGGGTCTCCGTACCAATGAAAATAAAGCTAAAAAAGTTAACTGAAAACAGGTATTGCAAAAAGGAAACATAAATTCAAATAAACTATTGCAAAGCGATTTATTTCTGTGTCCCACATGATAAAAAAGTGACTGTGAAGATGTTGTCTTTACCATGATCTCCAACATTAGCATAATTCAGAGACATCTTCGGAAATTAATCGCTATGCTATGAGACGAAACTGCATTTCAAGACCTCATCATTTTCTTTAGATATAAGCCAGTTATGCATGTCGATAGCATATTTATTCAATGTTTTTTATGGCCCTTCAAACTTTGTTTCAAAATATTTCCAAAATTCAGCTGAACCAGGAGTAAAGACTAGGTGTCCCAGTGTCCCAGCGGCACATTACCACCCGAAAAATTTCTAAAGAATTCCTCCATCCCCCCCCCCCTTCCCATGGGACCATGGGAAACCCTAGCAAGAGTAGACGAGATGTCCACCGCTGGAACGGTACATTAAAAAACGCTACATAACAACATTTTTGACATTAAGCGATAAAGAACACTTTCACCTTTAACAATGTATTATATTCCAAGAATTTATTACAACATTTTATTGCTATTTTATTATCAAACACACAAAGAAACATTTAGTATTAATGTATTATTGTCTTGATGCACATTTTTGTGATAACACAGCCCAATACAAACTATTATTTAATGACATTAATTAGCAAATTAAGACGATGTAAAGAACAAATAGGGCATTTTCACTCACGTGGCCAGCACCTATGCAAATTTATTGGAACAAAAGAGAACGTTTACATAGCAAAAGATTTCAGTGTCCCTGATATTTACGCAAGATGTTGGTTATATTCTGCAGTTGATAAGAACTTCCTTTAACTGTTAAGATGGAGATCTGGTTTTGGATTCTTGGCTGGGTTCTTTCATTTCTGGCTATCATTGGAAATGGATTTACAATCTTCCTCGTTTGCAGCAGACGAAATCGTCGCACCAAAACCAATGCGTTTGTGGTATCACTTGCGGTAGCGGATTTCTGTGTTGGTTTGAGCGTTATTCCTTCTCTGTTAGCTTGCGAATTTACAAACACCTGCCACTGGCCTGATTATTGGTTATCGTGGGTGAATATTATAAGATTGTTGTTTAGTCACTCGTCTGTTGTAAACTTATGCGGCTTAGTACTGGACCGTTTTATTGCCATCGTCTATCCTCTAAAATATATTACTTTGATGACTCGCCGTCGAATTACCCAAGTTATTTTCTTCTCTTGGGCTCTACCAGTTAGTTACAATGCGCTAAAAAATACCCTTTGTATTGTCTTATTTCAAAACGATACCTCTGAGTGTCCTTTTATTTGGCCGACCATAATTTCCGAGTTTCTTCCATGTGTTGTATTAATGCTCTGCTTTGTATCAATGATATTTCATGTATGCAGGCATGATCAGTCAACACGTACCTTAGCAAAACAGTTGCGTTTTAACCATCAGGTATCGTTTAAAACCCATCACGAGAAGTCCGCAGTAATAATGATGGGTATTGTGATAGGAGTGTTTCTTGTTTGCTATGGTATGTATCTACGTTGTAGTTTTCTAATACTATCCTCATCACCATGTAATGATGAAAACTACAAAATTACTTTCTTGGTTTTAAACTCAGCTATTAACCCACTGGCTTATGCCTTTTTTAAAAGAGACATAAAGAAAGAGTTTAAAAGACTCGTTGGCGCTGTGTTTTATAGAAAATAACAAAGTTAACTAAAACCTACCACTTGACGTGCGTAACTCATTCTTGTAGGATGTAAGTCTTTTATGACGAGTGTGAAAGGCTTGAGCAATTCAGTAAAAGACTGATGAATGAGTGAGGCATGGACTCAAAGCGAATTGAAATTTGGAAAATTTGGAGCCGATTAGGAGAAAAACAAGAACCTTTTGACCCTAACAGAAAATACAAGGGAAATACAAGTTCTTATTGGATGGAACTTTTAGTTTCACATCATGAGAGTACAATTTCACACCCTGCTACCAAAGCCCGCTTTGCTTCACTTGCTCGATTTTGGCATACTCCAGCATGACTCTGTGTCAATCGAGTAACAAAGATAGCGTGAGCATGTGCTGCTTGTTGCTTGGATATAGTTTGGAACCCAGGCTTAATAGCCGTGCGCTTTGTACATTGGGCTCATCGGTTATAATCATCAGTTTGTCAATCTCAGTCTGAAACGGATGCTTACACTCTGAATACCAGTTTGAAAAGAGAAATGAAGATTGACAAGTTCAGAAGTTCGAGGTTCGGTGACTTCATAAGGCTTGGCGCCAATTTTCCTCCACACTGAGGTTGTTTCTTCAATAGCCTTCGTAATCAACTCTGTTAACGGCGATAGATTCCTAGAATTTACCGAACCGAACTGAAAGATTAACTGTACGATATTCTTGTTATATGAAGTAATTTCCTTGTTGAGAAAAACACAAATAAAGAAATGTAGTTGTTTTGTAATCTTTCCGTGCAAGTTTATTTCAGCTCAGTCCTGCAGGTGTGACTGAAATGATAAAATCGTGTAAAGTGTAAAATGACTTGTTATGGAGAAAAAAAGGTAGCTATCAAACATTACACGAAAGTAATACTAATTTTCCTTAAAATTCTGTGGAAATCATGACAAAGAAATTAATATTGGTTGCTAAGGAAGCCCAACAGCAAATTGGATAGACGAGTTGCTTGTGGCTGGAACGATATTAAAATCGTTGCATGCCGAATGAATAATAAAACCTTCCAATTTAGCTGTACGAAATAAAAATAAAGTAGAAGGCATCTAACTAAACAATATTGTTAATTGATTGATAACTGAGCTAGTGAAACAGTTCTTAAAGATCATATCGACACCCCAGGCGTCTTGCGCCATGTATATATATACATATGTAAAGGCTTATAAAATAACAAGGTTCTATAAATAATTAATTAACAGTTAGACATTCAAGAAGTTTTTTTGAAGAGGGTGTTTTTTGCACAGTTGAACTGCCTTTAAAAACTTATCGACATTGTCTTTCTGTTTCACATCGTGATCAGTTTATTTTTTTTTCCTTGCTCTATTTATTAACTGAAAACCATTGCATACTCTATTTAGTATAGCAGTGGAGTTAAACGGAACAGTCTAGGCAGATTACCGTGATGCTGCTGGCTCCTATCGGTCTTGTTTTATTTTCTCGCATATGAATAGTTAACGACAACAGTGGAAACGTTCTCAGGCAAATTTAGTAACGCGCTGTACGTGATATTTAAGAGACGGCCTTGGCTTTTTATTTATTAATGCACTTTTGTCGTAATTTGTAGTAGACCTGTCGCAATTTGTAGGAAATATGTCGGCCTCAATTTAGACTAAAGTGAAGGTACATTTTTTTTCAATCACGGCTAAGGTCACCGTTAATTCCATCTGTTGTTACTGACAGACCAGACTGGTTTAGTTGTGAAAAGAATAATTAAGATCCAGCCAGATTAGAGCAATTTAGATTAAGATCGCTAATGTTGCATGGAGTGACAAAAATGTTTTCTCAAATACCGCTCCTTTGTAGGAACAATAAACAAACGCGCCAAGGCTTTGCACGGGTCGATGTACTTCAATTGAGCAACTGGAATTAACAACATTTCAAACCGGAATTTTTGTTGTATTGAAAGTGCCCATTGGCTTTGAATTACAGCGGTTAAGACACGCAACTATCCTCATTTTCCTACCAACTGTGTTGCGACAGTTCGGTCAGATACCTACTGCGCATACGAAACACATAATTATTAGAAATTACCAAGTTTATGACAAAGTAGGACAATAAAAAGGACTTCAGTCTAGTAACAATTTACATTTGCCAGTGAATAACTCAAAACCTCCTGACATATTTGCAAAGAGGATATTTTTCTTTTATCTGTAGTTAATAAGAACTTCTCTTAACTGCCGTTAGTACGGATGGAGACCTGGTTTTTGATTCTTGGATGGGTTCTTTCGTTTCTTGCCATCACTGGAAATGGATTTGTAATCTTCCTCGTCTGCAGCAGACGAAATCTCCGCACCAAAACCAACGCGTTTATTGTTTCACTTGCAGTAGCGGATTTCTGTGTTGGTTTGAGCATTATTCCTTCTTTGTTTGTATGCGACGTTACAAGCACCTGCTACTGGCCTCAGGCTTTTCCTTCATGGAAAGATGTCGTAAGGTGGCTGTTTAGCTACCTGTCTGTTTTAAACTTGTGTTCTCTGGTGCTCGAGCGCTATATCGCCATCGTAAAGCCTTTTAAATACATAACTCTTATGACTCGATCTCGTGTTATTCAAGTGATAACTTCCTGTTGGATAGCGTCATTCACATTGGTTGCGTTCAAGACCGCACTTCGGCTTTGCTGTGAGACCCCTCTGACCAGTATCGTTGCAGTTGTGGTTTTAATGATTTCCATGGAAATCGTTCCATGCGTTCTGCAGATATTCTGTTTTGTGTCACTGTTACTTCATGTATGGAAACATGATCGGTCAGCACGCACCCTAGCAAAACAGTTACGTTTTAATCATGGGATATCTTTTAAAACCCATAAGGAGACGTCTGCAGTAATAATGATGGGTATTGTGATAGGAGTGTTTGTTGTGTGCTATGGAATATATTTACGTTGTAGTCTCGTAGTACTATCCGACACAAATGCATCATGTAAAGATGAACAATACAAAATTCCTGTATTGGTTTTAAACTCGGCCATTAACCCACTGTCTTATGCTTTTTTAAAAAGAGACATAAAGAAAGAGTTTGAAAGGCTTATCAGTCAGGTGGTTTAATTCAGGCGGAAAAGTAACCGTGTAGAGCCTTCCACTTGATCATTTTTGAATTTTGAAGGACATAGATCTTAATATTAGTTGGCAGAACTGCTTTTGATAGCGGATTGTGACAGGCATCGCAGGCGGCAGTTTTGGGGCCGGCAAATCCCTGGCGATTTGTCTCAAATCATAGTTTGGAAGCAGTGGTGTTTAAGGAGGGTACAAGAACCAAAGGACGATGAGAATACAACCCAACAGGGACCTTACTATCCGAAAACGAAGACGCCAATGAAAACGTCGCTGAAAAATAGACTTCGCTTCCATTGAAACTTTTTCGCCCTCATACCAAGTCGCTCAGTGAATTGAACGTACGGAAAATGTGTTAGGTTGGAACTGAATAGAGGAGGCCGCGTCCGAGTACACAGAGAGATAGTAAATAAATTTATCGCCTTGTCGTTCCTGTTCTTAAGCCCGTCAACTCAAAATTTGACTATTCCACGTTGTAGTTGTGTAGGGACAACAAAGAAATGTAAATAAAAGCGTGATGCACGTGCCGCCAGAACTGTCGTTTTGCTCACTAAGCCTATTGTATTTTAGGCGTTCTCCTTGCGTCGCCGTCGTAGTTTCGTAAGGTCCCTACATATGTCAGATGCTCTTGAAACGGCGATTCCGAGGTATAGACGAAATTTCTTATTGAAACTTTTTGTTTCAAACCAAATTAAAGTATTTCTTTTTTCTTACTTCATTTTCCACATTAATTATTGTAGTCAACTCTTTTAAGTAGTTTCCTAGAATTTAAACAAGCATGAAGTATTAAACGTTTTTGTTTTTGTACTGGAAAAGAATTGTATTATTTTTTCCTTTCCCTGAAAACTGATAGTTTTAACTATCAGTCCTCAGTCCATGCCAGGTGTGAATGAAATATTAAAAACTTTAGAGGACGATCTGTATGATCCATACAGGCAACATGGATAATTTTTTTCAGATTCCCTTTGATCCCTATGGTGCGGTGAAAAGCCATCTTTTTCTTCAAACAAGTTTTAACGTAGTTTTGCCTTAAATTTAGAGAACGTCTGTAGACGATTTTGTAATAATTTGTAATATCCGTCTTGATTTGCAGTACGTAGTAGCTGTTCTAATTTGCATTTAGAAGGATCCTCAATTACTTTCCTGTCATGTTCAGGGCGTCTCCGTACCAATGAAAATAAAGCAAAATAAGCTGACTGAAAACAGGTATTGCAAAAACGAAACATAAATTCAAATAAACTATTGCAAAGCGATTTATTTCTGCGTCCCACATGATGAAAAAGTGACGCTAAAGTTTTTGCCGTCTGAATAACACCCTCCGAGTTCTGCTTAATTCTTCATATCCCACGAAATCCGAATTCATTAATTGCTTTATTATTCATTCAAAATAATTCCTAGTTTAAAAACATAGCTAAAACATGCTTACCTGCATCGATGTTAAGTTTATCTTCGATTGTGTGCGTTCAGGTTTGTCCAGCTCCGCGAATATTCTCCAAATAGCAGCCAGTGTCACCCTCCGAGTTGTCTTCTTGCTGTTTTTGCTATGTTTTAGCCATTATTTCGCCTAGTTCCAGCTGTAGTTCTTACTCTTGAAAAAAGTGAAGTGTCCGCCATTTTAGTTTTCACAACGAAAACAACTCAACCTCGTCCCCAGGTCTTCTCAGTTAACGGTGCATTAACCTGTAGAGGGCTGCATTTTTGACGTCATTTCCTCGTTAAACTCAAGACTCTTACAAATTTGGTCATCAGTAACTGGTTATGGTGAATTATGTGTGTGCTTTTAGCCAATCAGAATTGGGGAAATATTTTGAATGAATAATAATCAAACTTAAGAAGTATCCCTTCTAAAAAATATCCAGTCTAGCCATCTCAAGTTTCCTCATGATTAGCTAACGCTGTCGTACTAGTTTGCCTTTTGATGTTTGAGTCTCTCAAACCAAAGTTGAGAGTGTGAATGGGGTTAACCGACTAGCGACAAAGGGCGAAAAATACTACCGACTACCTACAAAACGAGAAAAAAAATTACTGACTACCGACAGAAAAAAATATTAACCGACTACCGACATGGACCGCCATTATCGATATTTGTTTTCAGAAAGAAGAGAGCAAAAGAGCTTTTTGTATTTTTTCTTGCTTACGAAGTAACCACATTAAAGGTACAGTCGACTCCCGATAACTCGAACCTTCAAGGGAAATCGAAAAAAGGTTCGAGTTATCAGGAGTTCGAGTTATCGGGATCCCGAAGAAAATAGCCGAGAGTAATGTAAAACGCAGTTTTTACTGCACAGCGGACATTTTAATCACATTTAATTGTAGAAATGTCAAGTGATAATTGAAAGATACTTCTAGATTCTAAATCAGAACGTAACGTGACAAAACATAGCCTAAATAGAGCATGCGTTTTACTGTTTTGAGAAGAAAAGCTGCTTCACGTTAGCCTATGACAATCAACAGCAGCCTTTACAAGTAAACTATACTCCTACAACACGTCCTA